AACTTGCTAATCAGAAAAAATAACAGAGCCCCAACAAATGCATGTATCTTTTTTTGTTGTTGTTGATTCATGTACATAATACAATGATTGGAATATAGAAGTGAAGCGAGGAATTGTTCAGAATAGGCAAAGATGATCGACGAGTGATCAACCTCTATTCATCATATTACCTTCACCTTTACGATGAGAATCGGTGAACTCGTTCCATTCGACAGCCTTTTTCCGAAGCTCTTCAGCCTTGAGTTCGCCCTTCAGATTATCTTCTTCAGCGTCGATTTGAGCGCGTTGGGAGGGTGTTTCTTGGGAAGCCTGATCGGGGCCGCCGCCGGACAAGAAGTTACCCATGGCGCGTTGTTCGTCCAAGTAGTCGTCGATCGTCATCGTCGGGAGCGTCCAATCGGGGCGGAAGACTTCTGCTCGAAGTTTGATTCGATTGGTGGAGGCTGAGGAGGCTGATGAGCGTGAGGGTAGGATGGTGAATGGACGGAGAACCTTGCCTGAGGGCGAGACTAATGGTCCATCCGTCGAGGTCGATAGTCTTTCGACCCGCCAACTTAGATCATCTTCCTCTCGTTGTACCTTCTTACTCGGTAGGTCGTTCATCTGGGCCGCCTGGCCTAGAATTTCTAGCTCTGCTTCGATACTGTCTAATTCTTGGTGGGCCTTGAGGTAGAGGAACTTGAGCCAGGTCAGATGGGTCGACCGACTCTCGCTCTCATTCTCATCATCATCATCATCCGAACCATTCGCCCTCTCAACTCGAGAGTTATAGTCTTCCTTCGATCGTCCCGACGAATATAATCTGGAACGTTGGGCCGCTCGTTTACGTTCTCGTAGCTCATCCAATTGTTGCTTGAGTTGCTTCTCTAACTTGTATTGGTTGATCTTCGACTCTCGCCGCATCGATGCACTTTGTATCGCAGATAAGGGCCCTTTGAATCGCTCGATTTGTTCCCTCGGAATGATTTCATACGCTTCAATCTGTCGAGAAAAGCTTTTAAAATGGTCCTGTAAATCCCACACAGTATACCAAAAGAGAAGAGTCAGTAAGACCTTTCAAGAAAAATGAACATAATGAACGAGTTGCTATTTTTTTAAAACAAAAAGTGATGAGGATTGATTGGGGGTGTTCAACTTTTGCTTGTTCGAGGTTCTTCTTCCGTTGGCCGCCTCCTTTAGTTTTGAGTAATACGACGAGCAAGCCACGCAAGACCTCGACCGAAAGACATTTTAGGTCATTAGTATTGATATCCTCTAAGGTTTCGTTTGGAGATAAGATGGCCAATCGGTTGATTAACGAGCTACTCAAAGAGAGGTCGGCGAGAGCTGCGAGGATTTTAGACTAAGCTGACAGAGAGATTCTTACTTCAGTCAATCTGTTTCACTTGATCATTCCCAATGAAGATCTACTACGCACCTGAACTGTTTCCTCATTTGGTGTGGGCTGTTCGATGACATGGTTGTATGCCGATGTGGCTCGATCGAGCAGTTGGCCCAGTGTGATGTCATTCTCTTGGGACATCTTGTTTTTTGGGTTGAGTGAACTATCGATGGAAGACTGGTATTGATGAGTGCTGAGTCTGACGGTTTCGTGATCTGAATTCTGAAATCTTGACTTTAGGCATGGCCCCGGGGATCGGGACGGGGCTGGAAGCCCATCCCGAGGGACGAACCCCGGGATTCTGGGTTCAAACCCCGGAACCCAGGGGCTTCAATCACTTTGTAGCACTATGTATCTTCCATCTTTTCATGTTGCCATATGGACTCACACATCTTGGGAAAATTACCATGGAACCAAGCCGCTAAAAGAAATTCAGCCATGTATTTAAAATTTTCATTGGATGCAACCCTTGAAAAGTAATAAAGAAGCTCCACTTCTCCGGAAATAAGATGGTCCGATCTCTTGACCATGAAATAGAATTTCAAACTTTGAAACTTGATCTGGAAAACTTCCGGCCTTTCTTCTACTTTCCAGGAACATGCAATAATTCGCTGATCCCTTCGCCAGGTTTGATAGAAACTTCAAAACTTTCTGGAAATATGGGTTCCTTTGAATTGACTCTTCATGATGCAGATTCGGTGGTTGAATGATGGCTGAGTGTTGCAAGTTTTTATTTCAAAATAAAAAAATGTTGATGATTGATTATTGTGAAGATGTTACGGTATGAATAGAAATAACCTACAAAGGTGTCTTTGGCTAGATGGACTCACTTGGGTGCTGATCTAGGTAAGTTTTCAGTAGATAAGCCGCAGCCGTTTTTAAAAGTGGATTTTTGCGCCTCTGAGACTGAGAGAAGTATTTGATCAATATGGCCTTCATAGGCTGGTTATTCATTTGGTAAGTGTCATCTGAGCCCCAGTTTAAATCCGGTTGCGAATAGGCAACTCTCAGTGATGGAAGACCATCATTCGGATCAAGGACCTTTTTGCTCAACCAGTCTAATATTTTCTCTTGCTGCACCTTGTAATCAAATGTGGTGATGCTGAGCTGGTTGAGATATTCACTGTGGAGCTGGTATATTGATGCTACCAGGAAGCTGTAGAGTGAAACCAGACGGTTCATTGCATCTCTTGCACCCTTTCTTGAACGAATGTCTCCCTCTGGTACGGTTGGGTGTTTGTCAATTGAAGGAGAGCCGCCGACGACACAGTCAAATTCCTTCGAATGGATCTCATTATCAAAACAATCACTGAATTTTAGGAGAGTTACTTCGACCGGATGACCTTGATATAAGAAATTGCCGTGATCGACAGGTGAAACTGAGAAATCGTTTCTGAATGGTTTAGTATACATATGATCCGCTGAATGACGCACCGCTTGCCCGCCGCCGGGCAGCTTGCTGGCTGTTGGGCGGGAGAGACGATTGAGCCATTCGAGTGAATTTTTGAATCTCAGCATCAAGTCGTACTAACCTTGATGACCGACAATGCCAGTAGACATTTGGCTTATTTCACTTGCTACCATCGAACTGTCTGCAGCGTCTAAAGCTTGGTCCTTCAAGCGCTTCTTGTTCACCTCGCGTTGCGCCGTGAACGGGTCGATAAAATCTTACATGCAGAAGCATCCAGTCAGTCCAATTCCCCCTTCCAAACTCAACGAGTCAAGTAGCAACATCTCACCTGAACTAGCTTGGCCGGCCTGAGCGTGCGATGAGAAAGTACTACTTGCAGCGGAGTTGAAACTAGAAGGTTGCACTTGTTCATATGTCCGCTTCCTTGGTCCGTCTGAGAGGTATGATGGGGCTTCATGATCAATATCCAAGTTCTGTTCCTCTGGCAAGTTCAAATCAAATCTATAGTGTGTTCCTAAGAAAGTTTTGAAACACCATAATAGTAAGTGAATCCGGTAGGAATAACGCTTGAAGGTACCACGGAAGGCCGTCATTTGTGCAAGATAATTAATGTCACTTGAGGTATTGTTTTTCTATCTGGCGATCAGACTCTGTGGTGTTTAATTTAATGTTCACGTATCCAGTACCCCCCTCCGAATAAAGGGGGACTTCTTTAGTTGGGAATTCACACCAAAATGTAGGCAGGAAGGTTGTCCATGGATGCACTTGAGACATGAAGAAAACAGCAGAGGAATGCACTCCAAAACATTTTAAGTTGTGACTTTGATACTGAAACAAGGTAGCTGTATCAGTCCCTCCCATTTTTGCTTTCATGACGTCTTTCATACCATGACACTTTATTTAAAAAAACTTCACCTTGTAGAACTTGATCAAATTACTAAACTTCTTCTACAACTTTGCTACTCAACCAGCAGTCCATTCCACGACAGGATGGCCGAGTGGTTAAGGCGGCAGTTTTGAATCTACCTAATGGTAGCTCTCCAGCTGCTTCACTTTGTGAGTGTGAGTTCAAACCTCACTCCTGTCGGGTACTTTTTGAGCAAAAGGTTTGGAAGGGCTCACCAAGGACTTGTGCAAGCAATTCATCCATTTTTCCTTCCGCTCAGGGAGGTCATGATAGTGCTCCCGCCCCCTGCCTGGGAACCGGGCTAGAGCTCCTACAAGGAATCAAGTTGCAAATGTCACTCACCTATCCTGAGAATTGCCAGATAAAGTACTAAGGCCCCAATTATAAACACCTTTTCAAAATATATTTGAAATAATTTGAAAAGTGTTGCAACTTTGTTTTGATTTTTTTTCCTTTTCTTTTTCATTTCAAAACCGAGCTCAAAAACATTCAAACCTCCTCCAGAGGTGGTTTGAATCTCAAAAACATCATCTTGAGAAACAATACCAATGTTTGTGTCTGTACATCCCTGTATAATTGAAATCCATACCCAGATTCTGTCTGTACATCCATGTGTGATTGAAATTCATACCAAGATTGGCAGATGCTTATCCGGCCCAGAACAGACATCCCACACTCCGCAATGCAACATGGTGCCGGGGCCCTACATCCATCAATCCAACCATGGTTAGCAGGGGCCAAATCAGAGATGGTAGACCCTGCACTTACCTGGGGGCCTTGGGCCATGCCACACCAGCTTTACTTGATAGCTTACCCTGCCCGATGACACATCTAGGCTTAACAATGCTACTGCTTTATAATTGCACATTGTATTCCAGTATATTTTGAAATAATATTCAAACTTCTTTCTGATTTCTTTTTCATTTCTTTTCCATTTTCAAATGGTTTTCAAATAGAAAAACCAAAAATTCAAAATATTAGTTTATAATTGGGGCCTAAATCCCCCAGATGACCCAGTAAATCATTGAATTTGAACCTAACAACACCATTGGACATGAAAAAAACTCAGGATTTTTCTGCTCATCATGATGCCAGCCACTTCTTATCAATCCTCTCCAATATGGAGATACAGCTATAACAAAAAAGCTTGCGGGATCAGAATTCAGAAAATCAACAAAAAAACATTGACTGCAGTTGGAATGTTTGGAAGAATACAGCCAGATGTACAGGTTGTGATGTACTGGCCAGTGGCACCAATGGGACCTGACCGGCCCCCCTGGGGGGAAGCTCTGACATAGCGAGGCCATGGCATGGAGGGGGGATGGAGTGGACTTTCCATCAGGATTCCAATGGTGTTACTCTCATCACCTGAAAGTGAGTGAAAAAAAGGTAGCTGATTTGATTGCAGGTAATCCATGCATACTTGGACCTGTATTCTTCCAAAGCTTCAAATCGTTGTCCGTAATTTTTTTTTCATTTTTTTTCATTTTCAGACTTCGGAGCCCACAAGCTTTCTCATTATAGCTGTATTGAACCCAATAAAAACTTAGAAATAAAAAATCTGGTTGGATCTTGACCAGAAATGTCTCCACAATTGTCTGTTCTCACCGGCCTTCCTTGACAACTGTGGCACCTATTGACTTAGGGGCTGGGTTAATCAACTTCCAAAAATTGGAGAGCTGACTCCCAAGACCCAAAATTTAGTAGTCAAACCCCCAAAACCTATGACTGGTTTGGGAGTTGACTCCCTATAAATATTAAAAATAAGATATAAAATAAAACCCCTGGTCAGTTTGGGAGTTGATCCTCCAAAAATAACCAGGGTTTGGTCCCTGGGGGTTGATGAACCAAAATAAACCCACAGTGGCCGCCTTCAAGATTTTACTCTCAGTGGCAAATAGGTACACTTGGCCGTCAAGGTGTGCACTCAGCGGCTGAGAGAGAGGATTCCTTCAGCTGTTATACCCTCAATGGCCAGGAGGATTCTTCCCAGCCACTGCCATGCTTTTCTAAGCCTGTTAAACAAAAATGGCACAAAAAACTGTAAAACACAGGCTACTTTCATTTCAAATATCACTCAATACCACAACTAAACTACCCCTCATCCAACTGGTCTGGCACCTTCAAACCAAGCTCACAGCCAATCTTTAATCAATGAGCTCAATTATGCCTGTGCCACTGGCCACAAAAGCTAATAACTGAATCCAGCTCTTCCTGATCCCATCAAGTTCCCTGAAATCCCAGCCAATAATAGATCAAACCAACATAGAATGGCTTCTGAAAAAGCTGAAAGCTCAATTGACCCCTTCTGATGTTATTGCAGGATTTGAGAAGAAAATTTTCAAGCAGCTCCACAACCTGCAACAAACCCACATTGTCTATAAGAGATTGAACTTAGATATAAAACTGGAGGCACATTGTACTGGCTTAAATTCAAGAAGAACAATGAATCAGCACAAGAAATGTTGCACAAAAGTGATTTTGCTCTTTGATCTTTGGACATACTTTGTCACTGATCAAGAATATTTAAAAAGCGTAAACCTCCTCAATCTTCATTCCAGATGACCTCAAAATTGGCCAGTGCAGCAAAGCATTATCCCAGTCTACAAGCAAGTTGAACAATCTGCTTGCAATACAACCACGTGGAAATCTACAGAATCACACTCATACTGAACAAGGTTCTGCAAATTCAAAAAGCTCAACAATAGGGGGCATCAAATATAGGAAATCCACCATTAGAAATGAGACAATTTTCTCAAAACTTTATTTTGCATCAATGTGCCCCAAAAGATGTTAAATGAATAACCAAAATGTTTCAAAAAGGGTGGATTCCTTCAAACCAGTCAATTAAGTAATAGTGTATTTGGTTATATTTGATACCCCCTATTTATGGTAATTTGTGGGCCAAAGGTGCCCAGCTTAAGGTGAGACAACCCCCTTAGTCAGATCTTGTGTGCTTAAATGTATTACACTGACATTACCCTCACTCAGTCAAAGGATCTCAGAAACCAATTTGGTATTGAAGGCTTTTTTGTTCTTGCTGGGCAAGAATATCAGAGCCCCCTTTTCTTCCAGGGTGGCATTTCTATGGAAACAAATATCTTTGGTTCCTTGCTGATGAAGGCAATGCAATTTGGGAATTTTCAGTTTGGATGGCAGGATCCAAAATGTCAGCTCTGGTCTCTTATGTGACCTAGAGTTGATGGGATAAAGGGTCACACTATAGCCAAAGAGTGGCCAGTGGAAATAAGTCCAACTCAACACTGGTACAGTGGAGGGACTGGCTCCTTATAAGAATAAGGGACAGCTGTGGAATGAGCCTCACAGTGCCTGAGCTTAAGATAATAAGAAGAATAGATTTGTACTAGTCTTATAAGTTAATAAGGTAACTTATAAAGACTAGTAATGAGATAAAGGAAAAGGTACAACAAGTTTATGTAGATAACATATTACTAAAAAAACCCCACTCACGAAGTATATGTTTTAGTAAGGTTTTTGGGTTGGTATGTTAATATTGTCTGGGGGATGAATCTCAGGGGTAGAGGCATCCTCTTAAATATTACAGAGCAGGGGTCAATTCTGCTGCTGGGACCGGTACAGTCCCCTTATTGTTACACTTTTCCTTGGGGGAAAGTGTCAGGATATTCAGAGCATGATAAATGTACATGTGTTGAATATCCTTTATTTCAGAAAATACCATAAGAGAGATAAACATAATAATCATACACACAAGAGAGGTAAATTGGATAATCATCTCTTGGATACACCCAGGAGATAATTATCCTTTTCAACTTGATTATAATTTTCATGAAAGAGGTAAATTAATAAAGAGGTGAATCTTTATTAATTTACAGAATACTTATTAACATAAAAAATACATGTAAAAAGGGATAACATTACTTAATAATTATTAACTTGAAGATTACATATAATAATAATTGTTATGTAACCCAAGGGGGTTACATTCTATTGTAGACACCTGGGCTAGTGTCTCAGTGTCTGACACAAAAAGACCATCAAAAGAATTAAATCAATCAAAAAAACAAACACAGTTGCTTCTCAGTCCGTTGCCACATATGCCAATCAGCCCCTAAAGGACAAGAAACAAAATCTGCTTTAGATTTGGAAAATCAAGAGTTTTTTCAAGGTCCCTGGCCCCTCATTTGTGATGGGTCTAAATTTTCTCATTTATTCTGATTTGCAGGTGGTTTAGCTAAGAATCATTTGTACATCTTGCAAGCCATGTTCTTCATTGTTTGAGTCTGAATTTGATAGATATTGTTCTGTTGTTTAGACTGACTGAGAGCATCCGCATTGGTGCGGGTCAAAGCTAGGGATAATTGCAACAGTTAGCTGCGGCAACATAGCAACTGAACCCCATTTCCACATCGGTCTTCACCATTCAAGAACCAACAATCCCTCAACTGCGCTAGCAACACAAAACTCAGGACCGCATCGGAATAACTACAGCATGTCGAATCAATACTTCCGACTGAAGGAGAATGCATGGAGACTAGCCAAATTTGATGAGGAAGCGTATGAACACAATCAAAATCTAATGAAGATGCTGTTTGAAGACTCCAATGATGAAATTGAAGAACACGAGCGGCAACCTATTGTGAATCGAATCCCCAACAAGAATCGCAATGCTCTGTCTGGCCATGAGCAACTCATGAACAACTACCTGGTCGAAAATCCCGTATACAGCGAGAAGGACTTCGAACACCGTTTTTGTGTGACCAAAGGTGTTTTTATCCGATTGTGCAATGATTTGCAGACCAAAAACTCAACGTCTTACTTCATTCAGAGAGCTGTTAGTCATGTCTTTTTTTAAACATAATTTTAATCTAACATCATGTTTTTTTCTCAGGATTGCAGTGGAAAGCTTGGGCTCACAGCGCCACAGAAGATCACATTGGCTCTACGACAACTAGGCTATGGTGTTTCATCAGATGCAACTGATGAGTATGTTTGTATAGGAGAAACCACTGCACGCAAGACCCTCAAGATTTTTACGGAATTGGTAATCGAAATCTATGGCTCCGACTACTTGAGAACGCCAACTGAAGAGGATTTGAGAGGGATTCTTCAAGAGAATGCAAATCGAGGCTTTCCAGGCTGCTTGGGAAGCCTGGATTGTATGCATTTTGGTTGGAAAAATTGCCCCCGAGCCTGGGCTGGCCAGTTTACTGGCAAAGAAAAAGAACCAACTATTGTACTTGAAGCAGTGGCCACCAAGGACCGATGGATCTGGCACAGCTTTTTTGGTACGCCAGGAACCAACAACGATATTAACATTCTCAATTGATCTCATCTTTTTGATGATGTCCTCAGCGGTCAAGCGCCCACCGTATTGTTCTCTTTGAATGGAATCCGATTCAATTCTGGCTACTACCTTGCCAACGGAATATATCCATCATGGGCTGCCTTTGTCAAATCCGTTCCCAACCCTTCAGACTCCGGCTTAGCCACGAAGAACTTCAAAGAGAACATTAAGTCCATTGTACTATTCCATTGGCTGGAGTATGGTTTTCTTGGCTTTGGTATAATAGGCACGTTCGAATTCGTCGACACACATTGACAAGTCCTTCGATAATATATCCATATCAACCACTTTCTCTTGTAAATTGTTTGCGCGCGACGTCTCTTGGAATCGCTTGCGGCTTAAGTCGTGCGTTTCTTTCACGGATGACTCCATGAGCTTGATCTTCTTCTGGAGGAATTCACTCTGGGTCAAAGCTCTCTTAGCTGCTTTGACCCCAGGTGGCTGTCTTCCTTCATTAGCGCTGGGGGCTTCGGTTGCTGGCTCGCTTGCGGGTGTGTTAGGTGTGTTGGGAACAGTTCCACTGGATGGTGGAGGTGGGGGTGGAGTCGATTGTGCCTCAGTGATGGCAAGAAGAGTTGGGGCTGGTGCCTTATCCAACAGGATCCTCCACTTTGGGGCATTGCGAAGCTCCATCCAGGCGCTCTCAAAGCCAAAGGGCTTTCCGGTTTGGTCCGTAAACAGAGTTTTTGCTTGATTGAGCCAATCAAGTGGTTCGCTTCCAGAGGGTGGGTTGCGCTCAATTGATGCGTATATCCCACAAAACTTAGTCACAGCCGCTCGGAGTTTTGCCCATCTATGAAGAAAAAATGATGAGTGAAAGAAATAGACAAGAAATACTAAATAGGAAGCTTACCGGGTTGATAGATCCTTCCCTTCTCGGTGACCTCCTGCTGAGTTCTCATTGAAGTGTACTGCCGTTGTCTCCCAGAATTGATCGCGTTTCATCGCATTTGCATAGATTGGATTTTGTGAGGTGTGAAGCCAACTCCTTGCAAGTTGGGCATCTTCTTTGCTGAGCCAGTTTGGTCCCCGGGCCATTTGATTTGAGGTTGTAGATGGAGTCAAAAGATTTCAAGAATGGAGTGAGGCTGGTGTTGAACGTGATCTGTGTAGGGATATATTGATGGTGTAGTAGATGGAGATATAGCATCCACTAGTGACAAGTTGCTGCAAACTTGAACTTTGAATATTCAGGATGCCCTAGCATTGTTGTCAAGTACTCCCAAAGTTGGGGAGGGTTGGCGATGAAATGTAGAATATCTGGCAAGATTCGGGATCATGGCCAAACCGATGTGGTGTGTTTGTGGTCAAATGTAGCATAGCGCGGGGTTTAGTCAAGCTGATGAGGATGCTCTGACAAGCTGGGCTTGTGCAGTAGCTATTTCCATCATTATACCTGCCTTGATTGCAGTGTCTCTGAGAATGGATTTTACCTTCTTTTTACACCTGGCCTTTACACATTGCCTTGATCAGGAGTAGCAGCAACAATGGGAATTTACATTGGTGATAATGATAATATAACACTATTGTAACAGAATTGGTGCCCTTTTTGCTTTAATAACTGCAAAAACATTACTGTTACTTCATATTTTTGCTTTTTTTTACAATTTAATTTCTGTTACATTATCGACCACAGGAATGTATGTATAAAGAGCATATAACAAGGGATTTTGAGCCCTTTTTGATGTGTTTTACCTTGAAAAAAACAGAAAGCAACCAATTCAAAGAATTTTTGTCTGTAACAAGGGATGAATTTCTCCTTTTTATCTTAATTTTACACCAAAAAAGTAAGTTTACCAGATAACAATAACACATTATCTGGTAAAACTGGGAAGTTACATCAAAAAAGTCTGTCCATATATTGTAAAATATCCAAATTCCAATTTTTGGTTGCAGTTGCTGTCTTGGAATAGGATGTCTGTTCCAAGTTCAATGGGAGAGCTTCACTGCTTGTACTTCTTGCTTGCCTTTTCTTTTTCTTTGGGCCTTTGATCACATACTTTGCTTCCATGTCCTGGGAATACTGGCTCTATTTGGGGGAAGAGTTGAGAATGTTTGATATAACTAAAGCAAGGTTGAATCCAAGATTTCAAACTTTGATTTGAAAATTTGGCAGAGAGGCTCAAGCTCAATCTCAGAATAAGCATATTTTGTGCCTGCAAAATAAGAATTCCCACTTTTTTTTAATCATTTTTTGAAAAAAGATTGGTATGGAAATTCAATTAAAGAAAAAATACAGAAAAATCTGCAAGATGCCAGTGAACAAGAAAAACAGTACAATGAAATTTTGAAAAGAATGGCATGCAAGTAGTGGTGGGCTGCTACGCTTTTGGCCCAAAAAGTGTAGCTTAGCGGCGCTTTATTTGCACCAAAATTGTAGTTTTACTGTTTTTTAGCAGATTTTTGCTACGCTACGCTGTGCTACAGGCTGCTAACAGCGCTACAGGGCCAAAAAACCACTACCAGCATGTTAGCGTAGCATAGTGGGCCCTTTTTTGGGGCCTATGCGCATAGTGTTAGTGCAGATGTGGCGGAATTCTGCTACGCTACGCTAAAGTTTAGTGGAATTCCGCTACACTAACACTACAATTAGTGTAACTGGCCCACCACTGATGCAAGCCAGATGTGAAAGTACAAAAACAGGCCTAAAAATTCCATCTTGCTCAGGCCAACTTGGTGCTTTGATGCATAAGCCTCTCTGGTGAGACTGGGCTGCCTCCCAGACCTGCCTGCATGGCACTCTCACCACATAAGGCTTATTTAAGATTGATAATCTTCTACTCAAGACATCAGTGCTGACAAGACCAATGTAGCTAAAGATAATGCCATACACAAAGAACAGGCATCCACAGTAGAATCCTCTATTGAAGACATCAAAGGCAACAAAACTGGTGCAGCTACAAAAAAAACCCTGTCACATGCAAACAAAAGGCTTACACAATAGAATCACCCAACCCCAGAGATAAATGACAAGACAGAGGAGGAAGGAGTAAGATGAAACTGATGACGATGATGAGGAGGAGGAAGATGAAGACAGCCATCCTGATTTTTTTTGATGATAGTGATGATGATGAAGAGTCCAAAGATGTTGAGGATGAATAGGTGACTCCCCAAAATTGGGGAGTCAACTCCCAAACCCCTGGGATGTCCTGAGGACATTCTGCAGACTGCTCTCAGGGACTCCCCACCCCCTGATCCTTGGTCCCCCCAATGTTTGGGAGTCAATCCTCCCATTCCTGCAGTGGGAATGGGAGTTGATGCCCCCAAAAAATTAATAACAAAAATGAAGAAAACTCCCAAAGGGTTTGGCAGTCAATAGCCCAAAACTCTCTCAAGGGATGGCAGTCCGTGCCTGCAAGCCCCCCAGCGGGGAGGAAACCTCCTGTCCACTGAGAGTATAGAGGATTCCTCTTGTCTTTTGAGATTCACTAACCTTCACTGCCACTGGGGCTCTAGAATCTCTCAGGACAATTGTCCTTGTGTTCCACCTTCTCTGGAAAGGGCATTATGATATTCAACACCTTCAAGCTGGTCATGTGCTGCTCCAGTTTACTTGGGTTAACTTCCTTTGACCGGGCAATTCAACAATTCAACATGACCAATGTGACTACTCTCAGTTTTTTATTTTCAACGTAAACTTTCTGGGTCCGCGATACATACATGCCGTGCCTTATGATGGTATTTTCTCATTGGAGAGAGCTTCATGGTCGAAAGTTTCCAGACTCCAGTGTGAGGGCTGACATGGTGATGGGTGCACTCTGCAAGGGAGAGACGCGAGCAGTGCGAACAGGGGGGCAGGGGACACCCCCGGGAAACCCGGTCCCAACTGGCAGAGCTTGTGGTGAGAGTTTTTTAACCTAACGAAACCTAAGCGGCTGCGCAGAGTCATTCGACCGCAGCCCTTCCGGTGGTGACCACGCCATAGCCCCCTTCACGGGTCGGCCGCTGTAGTCGGCGCTGAAGCTTGTTGTCGACATTGAACCCGCCACGCAACCCCATCCATCGACTACCAATCAATCGATTGTCCTGCTTCATCATGGTAAAGCCCGCAATTCATCGAATTCATTTCCTCCTGATCAGACTACTCACAGGACTCTCATTGACTCTCCCTTAGGATTCATCAAACAAAACCCAAGTCGCTCGAGTAGTCCGGGTCCTCGGCCGAACCGGTTCCCGAGGAAGCGTCACCCAATGCCGAGTCGAGTTCATGGACGATTCTTCCCGATCTATCATCCGTAACGTCAAGGGAGCCGTCCGAAAAAGTGACATGCTCTCCCTTCTCGAATCTGAGCGTGAGGCCCGGTAAGTGTGGTCCCCTTTCTCAAACTCAGTCAAGTTCAATCCTCAAAACAAAACCAAAAAACTCACAACTTTCTGTCTTTTTTCCCTGGGTAATCTAGTCGTTTACGATAATCGTTCAAGTTCACGATGCCCTTTCTCTCTTGTAACATCCTCGATCCCTCTACATTATTCGTAATCGTCGATGTTTCGTAGCATATGCCTTTTTTGGGAGGGGGTCTTGTTGTAGTCTGCTTTCCCTGGTGTTTTTGTGCCAGGAGTAACTCAGCCTCACGTTGAATCCCATCATCAAACATCATCATGTTTGCTCCTCATTCGAGTCTTGGCCCCCTTCGAGACACTCGCCCCCGCATGTCTATTTTACATTTGTCTATGAATTGAGCTGAATTCAAATGCAATATAGCAGTGCGACTTTCGAAGAGACACACAGATCGTGGAGACATGAACGGAAGCCATGAATTGATGTCTTAGTCCGATTATCATACTATCGTAAAAGAACAAGTTCATAACTTCCTCACACTGTCACCGACCCGAATATTAAACTGAACATGGAGGTCGACTCCTGATCCCACCTGAGGATCATGCACCACTGCTGCAATCTACTTGAGAGAATGTAAGGACAGAAATGATTGCAAGCTAGGTCTTACGTTTATGTACACCGGCAGAATTTGACAGCATCATTCATCTTTCCACCTAAAACTTCCGCAGTGTTCTGAATGATATGTTCAAGTTACCACCTGAAGGAAAGAATACGATGAAGTTTGTGGCTGCATGCCTGGACTTGTCCAAACTGAATAATATGGCCCTCGGCTGCCAACAGGGCGCGAAGCGCGACCTCCTGTCACTTGCCTGAAAAACTCAACATTTGACGTGAGTCAAATGGCATCGAATTTTTCATTCCGGTGATTATTTTTTTGGAAACACGCAAATTTACAACCTCCCATGATGATACGGATAGACCAACCTTGAAACTCTTCTAATCCTTGACATTCTCCCTTTCATTTCGCCCAATTCATTTTGCCAAATTGTTTAATCCCTTGGGCCCATGGAAGAAAACTTCAACGGTCAGTACATGTCCCTCCACAAGTATACCGATCCAGATAGCTGTGCACTCGGCCAGCTTATTGAAGTGGCAAGATTGTTCGTACTTTAGAGAATTCCCTTCAACGTCACTTGACCTATCTATTTAGGGCCCACTCTTACACTGATCTCTTCAAAGTCTTACGCAAGCGGCTCATAGATAGCCCTGTATTTTTTTTTTTTTTGATAAACCCACGTTCTGTTGAGTCAGAATCCAAAATCTTTGAGTCACGGTGGGAAAGAGTTGGGATCATAAAACATTGCAGGCTTCCATGATCATAAATAACGGCGAGTCTATTCACAAAGAGGAAAGAGGATGGCAAAAAAGAAGGAGAATGAAACGGAGGAAAGTCTGAGTGAATTGCGGAAAGAATGTGAACTTGTGAAGAATCCTCCAGATAGAGGAGCTCAATCGAGTAGAACGGACCGAACAAAAGACGTTAAAAAAAAGAAAAGAAACAAAAAAAATTGAAAGTAGTGTTTTGTTTTGTTCGACAATTGGACAAAATCAGAGAGCTGCGGGACGATGAACTGGACAGCCTTCAAGGCGGAAATGGAGCAAAAAAAAAGAATCCGAAAACAATTTTGAAGCTCAGGAAAGCAGTTCAGCCCGCTACTAGTAGAAGGCTGAGAACCACCAGTGGATATAACTCTCGACAGCGAAAGGGACTCCACGGCATAGGCCAGACAATGTGAAGAGGGGGGATAGGGAAACTTTTCAGAGGGGTCGACCACCTGGGGCGGCCTTCACGTTTTGGGCGATTTCGCCAATCACATTTCCGGCACTATTTGTAATGAGCAAACAAAAATCAGCTTCAAGTCACACAAATAGCCGCCACCAGACATGGAGATAAGAATGAAGAGATGGGATACTGAGGGTCAAAAACTGGTAGCTTACGGGTTATAGTTGCAGGCCCAGAATGTAACCGGAGATTGGGGCAGGTTTGCTCCTCGCACATCCTTGCATACGCTTTTGTAGCAGCCTACTTCAGTCGTCGCCTGCCAGACGACCTCTGCAACCCAAAAACAAACAATCAGGATACTTTCGAGATCGTTGAGAAAAAGAAGAATGTGTGGCCCACGAGTGAAGTGAGATGGCTCCGTATTGCCGCCCGTGTAAGAATCTTTTTCTTCAGGCCCGGTCACCCAACCTGTGACGACCTCCTCAATGCTCGACTGGCCAGCGGACATGTTCTGGAATAGATACGACAGCAGCTTAACACCCCAATATTTCCCCAAGTTCATCAAGAAATAAACATTGTAGCCCGAAGACTTACTTCGCCATATTCGTTGTTTTGGGTGTGTCTCCATACGCACGTGTCAGTCAATCGCTTGGATGCCGCTACTAAGGCTGGGTTCCATTTTAGGGGAGCGGCTTTGTATTGAGCTCTGAACTTGTTGTGGAATTTCAACCACCTATTTATCAACAAACAAAAAAATACCAATGTGTTATTTAGATCGACAATGATAAACTTTCCAGCCAAAAAAGGGGACTGGGACTTCTGAGTCACTTACTGTTGGATCTCCGAGCCATCCGTATGAATCTTAGGACCTTTGTAAGTCTGTTCAAGATGTTGTTTTAGTTAGTTTTAGAATTTCTTTCACATATCGAAAATAAAGATGGAAGCTTACTGGGGTCTTGGCTGGACGACCATATGAGCCCTGGGACGATGAGACGGGTTGAGGGTTGAGGTGAATTCCGATGCTAGCTCTGGAGTAAGAGTCTGGCTGTCCATTGTCGGGGTTAGATTGAGGAGGAGGAGTATTTCCACTCCCAGATCGGTATCCGTCTTGGGTAGACCAAGTCCACCAAGATCTTTTTTCAAGCTCTTGTTCTTTGGTGGCATCGGATGATCCATGCGTCAGGGGCGGGGCTAAGGCCTTGAGTCCTTCCGATTGCATGAGCACTATGATCATACACATCCATGCCGCACAAAGCATTTTGTTCGTCATTTGGGAGACAAACAAAATAAATAAAAAAGAGGTATGCGAATATGTGTATGTGTATCCGGTTGAAAAGGTGGAGGTTTCTGTTGAACCTGGACCAAAAATGAGTGACGGTGAGGGTTGATTCAGAGGGAAAGGGAAGAAAAACCGGTGTGTTTGCGAGTGTGATAAGGCAGACGGGGAGGGGGGAAGAGCACTTTGGTCTAAGATTTTTAGATTGGGGTTGAGCTTGTGCGCATAAAAAAAAGAATGGTGTGATGCCCGCTCGGTTAGATCTTAAAGACAGAGAGTCACGGGTCAAAGGTGACTTTCGTGCTTGGACAGTTCGATATCAGCCGTGCTTATGTAGAGCAAGGCGCGGTATAATGTTACTAAGGGAGATTTTGAGTACACCGCACTTCAACCGGATTCAAGACCCGCTGTCTCCGAAAATCCTGCTCAGAAAAGTGTTGTACCCGCGAAGAGTTTAAAGGCAAAAAAATGGCGTATGATGGGGGACTGATGCAAGCAAACAAGAGGATACATACACGCTTTTGTACTCGATTGGAGGATGGGGTCTCTCTTGTGACGAAAAGGCAACTCAGCATATCACCCTTCTCACGTCGTCTTCTTCCGCAAACTCTTTCATTGCTCCTTTGTAATTCCCACTTGACTGTTGGTCGTCGTTAAGCTGCTCGCCAAGGAGCACAAACAAACAAGCATGCCATCTGCGGAAATTATGAAGGCGTATTGACCCCTAAAAAGTTCTTTACATACACATTTTTGAGCATGAAATGATAAAAAGACGTGACCGACATCTTCGCAACATGCGATCATTTGTCTTGGATCTTATCTTGCAACCCTCCCTGGGCCCTTGCTCAGCCTTGCTCACGATTGTATGTACTTGCACACTTAAAAGCGCGCATCGCAGTGGACCAAATCATTACGAACGCAGTACATCAACCGACATCAATATCTTTGCTCATAACTGTTGGACCTCGTGGAGTCCGGTGGAGGCGCGAGTCAACGACTGTTCCATGGGCATGCAGCAACAAAGCATACCCGAGATACGAGCATGAAGATGCTTACATGCATGTGATTTATTCCAGGGCACACGAATAACGTTTGCAATGATACATGCCTTTTCGTGATTGTAATTTGTAATCAAGAACTGCGGGGTGCAATTTCAAAGAGCGAGGAGGGCCTGGCCGATCAACAATCGACACAGAAGAATGCTTTACAGCTTCCATGTTAAGAATTATTCCATCATACAAAATTGGCCGGTAAGTACTGCTGGGTTTATGTGTTGTAGCTCTTGCTTTTCCGAGAAAGCATACTGATCGGGCATCATGGAGGGCATGTATGCAGGAGGAATTTTACAGACTTTTTACATCAAGAGTTCAGATATGATTGCGGTAGTTAAGTCTGACAGGTCCAACGGTGACAAAGTCTCATGTGGACTAAAAAACAGAAGAAAAGAAGACTTCCTCAGGGGTTTTGAGGTGTGCAAATAAAGCACACGCTTCCAAGAATCTTGGATGTATTGAAGGAAGCAGTTCAGGTGTGGAGGTAAGCTTATGTATAGGGGCTTGGTTAAACGACTCCCAAAAAGTGGAGAGCCGACTCCCAAGCCCCGGATTCCCCGAAAAAAGGGAGTCGAACCCCCAAAACCTTTGATTGGTTTGGGAGTCGACTCCCTAGAAAAAATAATAATAAAAAATCAAAATCCCCGGTCGGTTTGGGAGTCGGCCTCCCAAACCGACCAGGGTTTGGGGGTCGATGACCCAAAATACCCAATGCAGCGGCCGGGAGGAATCCACCCGGCCGCTGATCAGGTACACTCAATGGCCGGGAGCTGACCCCTCGGCCGTGAGAGTGCACACACCTCAGCGGCCGAGACAATTCCTCTCGGCCGTTGAGGCTATACACTCTCAACGGCCGAGACAATTCCTCTCGGCTGTTGAGGGTACACACTCTCAACGGCCAATGGAAACCGTCTCGGCCATTTGAGGTGTCCACACCTCAATGGTCGAGGGTACACTCGACGGCTGTTGAGGTGTACACTCAGAGAAACTCGGCTGCTGAGTGCACACCTCAACGGCCGAGAGCTGCATCCCGGCCGCGGATAGTGAACACCTCGACGGCCGAGGTGGTTTCCCTCGGCCGGTGAGAGTGTATATCCTCAACGGCCGAGAGGAATTCTCTCGGCCGCTGAGTTGTGTACACCTCAACAGCCGAGACGGTTTCCATCGGCCGTTGAGAGTGTGTACCCTCAAAGCCGAGGGGAACCGTCTCGGTTGCTGAGGTGTGTACACCTCAACGGCCGAGGCAGTTTCCATCGGCCGTTGAGAGTGTATATGTACCCTTCATGGCCGAGAGGATTCCTCTCGGCCATTGAGGTGTACACTCTCATGGCCGAGGGGTCAACTCCCAGCCGTTGAGAGTGTACCTCAGCGGCCGGGAGGAATTTCCCCGGCCGCTGCCCTGGGTATTCGACCGGGGATTTTTATTTTTTATTATTATTTTTCTTAGGGAGTCGACTCCCAAACCAATCAAAGGTTTTGGGGGTTCGACTCCCAAAATTCGGGGATTGCGGGGGTTGGGAGTCGGCTCTCCATTTTTTGGGAGTCGTTTAACTAACCCCCTATGTATAAACCACAAATAAAATTTTTTTGGGGGTGTTGAACAGTCAGAGGCAAAATTTTGGAAAGACAAATCTTTGAGATGGGTTTCTTTGGGGGGGTGATCATGAATACTTTGAAATCTGCATGTTTCTCAATTACAATTCCCACTAAGCTATTTTTAGTGCCAAAAACAAGTCTGATATCCAACATCCAGTGATGAACTTCCTGTGCAATCTGCAGCCCTTGCTGATATTGATTTAGACATGAAAAGTTAATTGGGATTATTGGAGGACTTCCCGTCGATCTGGAACCCTTGATTTGGAAGGTCTAATCCTAGATCCCAAACTCAATTTGGTGAAGAGAATCAAGTGACATTGACTTCTCATCAGCAAACAAGATTTGGAATCTGGCTTTAGGAAGGCTAAATCTAGGATCCCAGACCAACGGGAAGTCCTCCATTGGAGGGAAATCTAGCTTTTGAGGGTCTGAATCAATTCTGCAAGACCCAGGGAAGTCCTCTGGTACCCCTTTGCACTAGCCAATGATCAGAAAGCATTCAGGTCAATTCCCAGCAACATCACACAGGGTACAGATTTAAAGCACATACTAGCCACATTGAGTTGGATGATTTGAAAGTTCTGCCTAAATTCTGTTTTCCCTGTAAAATACACCATGGGTGCACTTGGGTGTCCTGGGACATCACACAAAAAAGGTGTTCCAGGTGTGTCCAAATCTCTTTAAAAATGGGATCCACCATCATAACAACCTCATAGGAGGGATCCACCATCATAACAACCTCATAGGAAGAAGGCTCTCTTTTTTGCACCTGCAGTCTACATTTTGTATTGTGAGACATTGCATATTAGTTTCTGGTTTACAATTTTACATCAAGTTGAATAATGGAGGACTTAGCAGCGGTTTTCTAAGTAGAAAAGTAGACCCCCTATCAACATTCCGAGAAAAGTTCTCGAGGAATTGAAGTCCATAGATTTGAACAAACTAGAAAAAGAAATGACTTTTTTTTGACCCTCAACCACCTGGACTTGTACAGCCCCTTGACAGAAAAAATGGAACCCTTTAATTGGCGCCTAAAGGCCAAACCAATGGACTTCAATTTACACTTCCTGGTGAAGCTG